TCTAAGTGCACAGCATTGTTGAAACTGCCGTGAGAATCAACATCGACCCACTCGTATTCATTCAACAAACTATCGTCCGATGTCATCCCTAAAGATCTGTACAACTCTTCCCTAACTCAATCAAACCTATTATCTTGGTTGATATTCATGGTTGTTGTATTTGTGTTATGTTCATTTGGATTCATATTTTATTGCACCGCCAAATTTTCTTGGTTTGAATCCATTTTTAGAGAAGGAGAAAGTGTCCGCTGGTTTAGGGATAGGCAAGGAGGAAAGTGTCCGCTGGTTTAGGGTTTGGTAAGGAGGAAGTATACAAAATCGTATACCGTATTTGTTTTTAAGAAAATACAATAATTTGTTAAAAATTAAAAAACGTATAATTTGTATAAAATACACATAAATACAAGGGAAATACATAATACTCTTCATCTCCCAATATTTAATTTTCACATACTTCAAGACTTGGAACTTAATTTTGGGTTGTGGAGGGAAAAATGTAGGCTCAGGGGCGGCCCAACAAGTTTTGTGGCCTAAAGCCAAACTTTATGAGGGGTCTTAACTTTTTTTTTTATATAAAAATTATTTATTTATTTGAAATCTATTTTTATAGTGTTTCTTAGATACAAAGTTATTAATAATTTTCTTATAATTAATAACTCCTAATAAGTCTTTCTTAATTGACAATATAGCTAATCCATTTAACCTTTCTTGAGACATTATTAATCTTAGGTAAGAATTTATCAATTTTAATTTTGAAAACTTCTTTCCGCTGAAGTGATGGTAACAGGAGTTATTAATATTATTCCATAAGTAATATAGGCATTGGAAAAAGAATTAAATCTTTTTATTTGACCGAGTGTATCAATTAAACTGTTATCTTCTAATTGTATTATTTTTCTTAATACTTTTAATCCGAAAATAAATCTAAACCATCAATATTGAATTGATTATCATCCTTGAAGGAACATTCAAGAATCAAGGTTAAGGCAATAATTTTTCAAAATTCTATCATCTAGTGATCTAAATTTTTACGCTAAATAGAGAACCTAAAATATCTTCATATGCTTCAAATTGTTCAAATCTATTTTGAAGTGAAAAAATAGCCTTGTCTACTATGTATAAAGTAATCAACTCCAAAGGACTCTTCGAAAGATTTTGTTTATAATTAATATTCTTATCATATCGTTACTTCCTATATATCACACATTTCCTACGAAATTCGGGTTCAATATTATTTCAAGTGCAATTTTCTTGGCAGAAATCATAGTAGTTGCACTTTCTTCTCTATACTTGTTAAAGAAAGAAATCAAACTCTTTCACTTCACATAACCTTTTTTAAAATTTATAAATAGCCTATTAGGTATAACAAAAAATGGGGCCCACATAAATGTGGGGCCTAAACCAGTTAGGTGTACACTGAATAATATTTGTCCAAGCGTTGAGGTGCCGATATATTTTGCCTTTCCTTTTGGGCAAGCGTACAGCATTCCTGTACTCAATAAGTAAATGTTTCCAAGAAAAGTTCAGTAGTCAAAGAGTCACAACGTGAATGGCCATCTCATGTGTTTGAATTCTATTGGCCAGACCTGTAGTTAGTTTTTCTCCACTGTAGCTATGTGAAGGAAAAAGAAATACTAGGATCTTGCTCACAAGAAGCTCAAATACCCACTCCAGGGTATATGGACCGTGCAATAACACCCAAAATATCACAAACTTTCTCAAAACCTGGCGAACAGTCTCTTTCTACCTGACTCAGTTATTTCTCTTTCCTTATTTCAACCAAAAGATCATGAAAAAAAAGAGCAGACAAGACGAAAAAGGAAAAGCGCCCAACAAGATTGATGAGATTTTCCGTTGATAGTACCTTTGTCCAAATTGAAAAGCTACGACACAAAACTAACAAGAATTGTATATACACGTATTTTCTATCCTCTTATCGAATAATAGTATATTAAAATAACCCCCCCCCCCCCCCCAAAAAAATACACAAAAGCAAAAGAAGAAGAAAAAGTAGATGGACATTATATGGAAGGATTCCCCTAGCCCACCTAAAAAATATAAGTTCCACTAACAAAAGTTATCAGTCCCCCCACTAGTCCTACTAATATTATCTTCTTCTTTCAAAATTGTATTTTTCCCATCCGAAGCCATGCGTGTCTGATCTTTCCTGCTTGCCATTTTCACAGTGTTTCTTTATCAAGCAAGTCAACTTCTTATTAGCTGTTTCCCAATAATGTCATTCTTCCATTTGTTGACCATTCAATTGTCCTCCTTTTTTCTCCCATAGTATTTTCATCACATTCTATGCCATCTGACCAAGCAGAGACTCCCTTTTGGAGTTCTGATTTGGCGTGTGTAAACAGATGACCGAATAAAACCTATATACATATCATATTAGTATGTATTTTTCTCTTGAAATACTCTTCCTCCTATTATGTACAATTTGTCTCTTGACTTATTGCTTACTAATGTTAGGTCTTCATCAGAATCATCCAATCTGGTATTGAAGATGGATGAAGTAAATACTGGTTTACCAATGTGTTTGCAGTTGATGCAAAAAACTTTTCTCTGGGACCTTCTAAAAATGTTCTTTGTGAAACTCGAACTTTGTTGCGCCCTTTTGATTATACTCTTTGCAAAGTTTGCCGAGTTCTTTTGCTAATATGGGTGCACCACAGTAGAAAACCCCTGCTCCAAATTAACATAATTGTAATTAACTCTTCGTAAAACAATGACAAATTTCCATGTCCAACAGGTAAACGATATCCATACCTATTCTTGCATTTGCATGCTTGGTTAAGGTCTTGGAAAATACCTTCTTCCAGTTTGGCCTAGCAAAATGTGTCCTCACCTGTTGATAAGAGTAAATCAGTGAGGGGCTCAAAAATCTGAAGTGACCATTAGGCAATAATCAGTTATTCCATCTCTAACAATATCCTAATTTGTGCTATCGGGTATGGTCTAAATGGAAAGAACTTACTGAGATAAGACTGAAGTGAATGAATCAGCAAATATAATTTCAAGACATGAAGAGTCTTACCCTGGTGCCTGATACAATATCAACCCCATTCTTAGCATGGTTAAGCGCCTGGACCATGGTAATGAGAGCTGAACGAGCATCCCCTTCCTCATAAACACTCGTCAAGTAGTTGTGCATCTCGATGACCCCCTGAATATCACGGGGAATTATCAATAAGTATTGAAATAGGCAGCAAATAAGTTGGAATATTGGACATTTTGCAGTACCCTTTGATCAAGTTCAGCCACTTCATTCATAACACCTTTGAACCAATCAAATGATCCTTGCTCCCGGGTCACCCAATAAAAATATGCATTTGTGGTTCTTAGAGTACTCTTTCTCCTTTTTGGAGAAATCTTGTTGAGAGCTGGTTGTTCACTTGTTGCAACGCTCATGTCTGAGTTCCCACTGAAATCTGAGGTTAAATCCTGCGAACAGAAAAATCATGCAATCCTGAGAAGGTGACAAAAAGATGAATAAAACTGGCGAAGATTATGTTAGTAACACCAAATCAAATCTTAGATACTCACTGCTTGCTCCTCCATTTTCACGATGTTGACGAGCAAGTCTTTCAGGATACTAATAAAGGGCGTTGCTCCAATGCCAAGACCAACAAGCAGCAAGACATCATATTTTTTGTAATCTTGTGCTGGAGCTCCATAAGGTCCATCTATTAATAGCTTTGGCAAACTGAGATTTAGAAGCAACTTTTTGCATCAATAATAATAAAACCACCCAAAATACTCATATATTTCTTTCTTAAATATACCAGAAAATAAATTTCCGTAGTATTTCTTTCTTATAGAAATATACCTTTTCTTGGTGTTTTCGTCAGCTCTGAGCAGGCCACTCTTCCCAGCCTCTGGCCGCTCGCAAGCCTCAGAAAAGACCCGCTTGAGTTCTTGAGTCCAGTCACCAAGTTGCCGGATGTGAATGCTCAAGTAGTCATCCCCGGGAGCTGAAGTAATGGAAAATGGATGCCTGGATAATCAGCATGTAGAATCACAGCAGATAAGCATACTGAAGAAATCAATTTTCAGAAATAGACAGGAGCAAAAAGCCACGGCCTAAGAATTTTGTAAAGTTGACTCTCAGTTTCATAAATGATGGAGTAATCTTTTAACTGTTTAACTACTTTTCTGATAGGTTCCTTCATACGTAAAGAATAACCACCGAATACCCAATCTGCCGATTTGAAACTTTGTATGGATACGTGCGATCAACAGTGTATGCAGAGCATGGTAAAATCTGAGTCTTATCAAATGTTTAACAGAAGATTGAAAGCGATTTAGATTCGCAATCCCCCTTTTCCCTCCCTCCATTTCGGAACAGTTCACATATTTTATCACCATTCTACACCTTCATCAGAGTGCTTTCACTATTCCACAGAGTCAACAGGGTAAACTAACAACTCTAAATTGGTGCAAATGAGAAAGTCAGGTTGTCATGTACTTTATTAAAATTGAAACTTTGATCTTTGGGGTAAATCAATCTCATTCAAAGTAAAATGCTTCGATCCAATTACCACTCAAATGGAGAAACCGCTGGACACTGGACGAACATATATTGTCCACTCTTGTATCGAAATTGGGGAGGCTTAGACATTTGTAGAGTGAGGACATTTCCAGGATATATTGCTACCTGAAACAAATTGATAAGATTTAAATACAGGAGAATAGCGTGAGAGAATGAAATATTTAATTCAGCATTTGCATTAAGTGGAACGCTTTTGACGAAATTTATCTAAACTAGCATCAGTCTACTAACTATGAATTGTGGTATGTTGAATTTAGCTACTGAATTTTCTAGTTTACTCTTTTTTATTTATAGCTCCACCTATGTGAGCTTACTAATATTGCCTGTTCCAAGTCTAGATAAAGGAGGAGTATTGCGGTAGGTTGACATTCAGTGTGAAATTAGTAGTTTTGGATGAACCCGTGCCCCCAAACATGGGTTTAATGCATAGTTGTTGTTATTGTTGTTTACTCTTTTTCCTTTATGAATGTCAATGAATTTTACCATAGGAATTGCCTAATGGTTTCCAACATAAAATAGACCACATGAACAACTAACTGATACCAGAATACCTAATGCAAGTAAAACGAGAAGTCGATCTGATCAGAAGCTTACTTTTAGAAGCCGGACAGTGTACAAGCCTGACCGGAAGAATCTGAGAGTTCTTTCCCCAGCGTAGAGAAGCACAGGAACTGCTAGATACATCCATGTCTGGAAACAACTACCATGTTAATAGCATGAAAACAATAAAATGAGAACCATAATTATTTAAAATGAAAGAGGAGAAGATCTCAGAAGCTATACCGTCTTGGAGTACCATTTATGCACAAGGAAGAGGAATGTGCCATGGATGATCAGTAAGATGTAGACAATGACAAGAAGGTGGTGCGAATACCAGAACGCGTTGAAGCCAGTGAGTCTATCAAAAGGTTTGGGCAACTTAATGAGGCTCCGCCTAAACCATCGGGTTGCAAGAGTGAAAGCAATGACCATGAGGATTACCATTATTATTCCCGTCACACCCTCAACTCCTTTAACAAGGTCTATGTATCCAGGCTTACTTTGCCCAAAATCATTCGACAAATAATCCCGATAATCTTTGTTATTTGCATGTATAAGCCTTGGGAAATCACATACAAGGTGGTTACCAGCATGGAGTATGATACCAATAACAATGGCTGCAGCGACAGTCTGCAGACACGGAGTAAGAATATTAGAGTAAATATAAACGTCATCTGTTTGCAACTTAAAGATAAATGAACCCTTAATAAAGAAATCATACTTATAAGTGTGCCATATTTGCATTAACTATTTGGGAAGTCGAGCACTATTACTATACTTTTATCCTACTACTCCAAAACTCTGCCATTCTTTTGTTAGAAAAAGTAGGGACTTCACTTATGTGGTTCACATATTTTGTGATTGTTAGCAGTCTTACATGTATAATTAGGAAAATTTTAGGCACAGCTTAGATATAGAGTTACTTCTGCACAGGACCAACCACTTATCTAGACAAACATACTGAAAACTGTGGTGATGATAATGGTGAATGACCCAGAATTTTCACATTCTGTTCTTAGTTTATTATCCTGTGAACTGTGTTTAGTCCCTCCAACATTAAGTTATTATATCAAGACTTCAATCCTTGCAAGAAAAGAAAAGCAAAACTGGAGAGCAAAAAAAGTCAATCTTTGCTGCTCCGACAACATAACCTTAAGCTAAGAAAAGAAGAGACAGCATTTCAACCTCAATATATCAGTTTATAAGATCCTGTTTAGGATCCGCAGGACACGCCGTCGTCACCATTCCAATTAATTGGCAAAACAGTAATTTATTACTCCTAACATATTCGTTTTGGATTTAAGAAATGTTAAAGATAGTTGAACTGATGACATAACGATCTTCCTAGCCATTCACATGGTTCTGGTTAGATTCAAATTCATCAAAACTGTGATAGGTGAACATGCATTTATATGATTTATAAACAAATATAGCACTAATATGTATGTATAGTAGAAGGTACTGCACCCACTCAGTTCGTGGAATAATTTAGTTTTGTGACCCATTACAAATTTTATTTTAATCTTTTCTACAGAAGTTAAGTTAAAAAATAACACAGTTAAATAAGATACCTTTGTAGGATAATTTTCTTCAAATCAAATTGTAAGAAAGAGATCATTTCCTGCACTTTTGTGACCCTTTTCAACATATAAAACAAGAGAATGAAAGGGGCAGCCTACCTTGTGAAAGTTGATGTTGTCATCGAAGGGTACAAAATGGCTCAACTTGGTGGACCTGAGCCATGTGATGGTGTTTCTGCATACAGGCAATAATATAAGAGCCATGTTGAACTTGAGAGTCTCAGCAGCGCCCTTAGCCGTGACAAGGCAGTAACCCATGACTTGGAATGCACTCTTGTTTTTGTACTGATAGAACTTCCAAAGAAAAAGCCCAATCATTATCAAAATCCATAAAGTGAGAACCCAAATTCTCTTCCAGTTTTCTTGCAATGAATAGACAAGTTTTGAGCTCATTCTTTTTATTGGGCTTCTCTTCCTTAATCCGTGCAGGTTTTGGCTCAAGGCTTGGCTCGTGTAACTTAGTGCTTGACTGTAGTTGAGGTATGTGTCCTTTTGGAGGAGAAGTGTTTCCAGCTGCCATAGCTGCATTATCATCATGACAAACAGAACATGCAAGAAACATGATCAGAAAGTTGGGTCATGGCATATTGGCATCATGTACAATCAATTAAGGATGGCGTCACTAAATGTTTATTTTATGAAAGATTTCAATTTTTATGCAGTGGCAGGGTACATTATCAACTCTCATTTAGAATATACGCAATTACAAGTAACTCTTTTTTAATCTCTTGAGAAACACATATTTTTATTCACTTTCAAAAATATAGCCGACGAAATTTTTTTTTTTTTATGTATGTGTATTATACTTAAAATATACATATTTTATATAAATTTTTACTAATAAATGCAATTAGTTTTGATCAATAGATCAATTTTATATTTGCCTAAATCTCTATAGGTCAGACAACTGCAGATTTCGATTCGAACTTCAGAGTTATGGATCCGTTCTTTACCCTTATTCCCTTAAATACGTTGCATAGATCTCCTGGCGCAGGACTCGAACTTTCGAATTCCTGTGACGTAAGTCAAAAGTCCCTTGACCTTTATCACATGAACTAAGTTCTGGGTTTAACTATTAAATGTTTATAACAATATGATAGATTATTACGCTAATTCTTTGCACTTTGACCACATATAAATTAAAACATTCATAAATTTGCTATTGGGGAAGGACATCTGTAGTATAGCCCGTTTAGCCAAGCTGCAAAAACCAGCTTATTTTGAGAAGCTTTTTTTTAAAAGTGATTTTCTCAAAAGTACTTTTGGTGAGAAGCAGTTTGTGTTTGGCTAATTAGTTTGAAAAGCATTTCCGAGCAGCAATTAGTGTTTGGCCAAGCTTTAAAAAACTGCTTCTAAGTGTATTTTCTCAAAAGTACTTCTCAAAAAAGTGCTTTTGGAGAGAAGCTACTTTTTTCTGCTTTTCCAAAACTGCTTTTGCTTCTCCTCAAAAGCACTTTTTTTCCTTCCAAAAGCTTGGCCAAACACCTTAATTTTTTTCCAAAAGTACTTTTGGCCAAAAAAAAAAAGCACTTTTGGCCAAACAGGCTAATACACGTGTTTGAGTGCTCAAAACGCGCATTTGACGTGCAAAGAGGAAGGTCCACATGGGAGCTTAAGAAGATGTCAGGACCGCCAACATGGTCAGACTCCACCTTCTAATGATGGAACCATAGACTGTGATAACCAGAAAAGCGGTGCAACCATCTTATTGGGACTTTTATGGACTGAAAAACAGTTCATTCTAGATAATTGAGTAAAGTAAATAGTAGTATAAGTTTATAATACTCCTATTAAGAATTTAATTCTTTATTAGAATTGGTTTGAATCACAAGTTTAATTTGGATCACCATTGTACTAGTGAGAAAGAGAAGGGATACAAAAAGGTGGCGTTGGTAGAAACATTACTTTCAATTGAAATTTAAAAAAAAAAAAAAAAAAAAAAAGGAAAACCATAAAATAAAGAGAAAAACTAGCAGTATTATTAAAAATACTACCTGTTCAGTTTAAGAGATATTTATTCCAATTGGACAATTTTGAACTAATACTTCACTTGACATTTTCAAAGTTTTGAAAATGGTAGTAGGCATGTTTAGGTTACTAATTTTTTTTTTTAAGAGATAGAAAGTACTGTCTACAATGTATAGATTATGTTCCGGTTGTGATAAACAAAGAACCTAAAACACTTAGGCCCCGTTTAGCCATGTATTTTGGCAACGTTTTTTTAAATCTTTTTTAAAAACATTGTTTGTTCATAGATTAATGATCTATTTTTTAAAAATTTCTGAAATTATTTTTCAAGTTCTCAAAATCTAGTTTAGGGTAGATTTTGGGTGAAACTTGTTTTCCCACTCACAAAACTTCAAATTTTTTTCAAATAAAATGCATGTCCAAACATAATTTCAACTTCCAAATATTATTTTTTAAAACTACTTCAAAAATTATTTTTTCAAATTTAAACTAAATCTATGTTCAAACGCTAGCTTAATGAAATTGGTCAAACTCCGTAAGTAAGTCGAATAATCACAGTCAATTAGGACAGCTAATTTTAAAAGTGAGAATGCATTTTGTTTTCAGATTTTGTTCTATCAATATGCATCCCAACAATTGTATTGCATAAATTTACTGGTGACTTTTTACTTACTATCATTTCATAGTAATCTCTACTCTAATTGGATGCTAAATACTCTCTACTCTATTCGATGATTCTCACTCGAAGTAATCTTAATATAAATAAGTAATTATAGCCACCACTAAATTGACATGATAGCCAGTGAATATTTAAACACATTTGATCTTCTAAGCTATGCTAATTGGTCTGGGTTTCTTCTTTACAAATTAAAAGAGGTAAAAAGTCCAATTTCTGACCGAGTGTCACAGCATTATTTACTTCGTAAAATATTGAAATTAATCTTAACAAAATACGGTAAGCTGAACCAACCAAAATTAGGTAGCGTCTTTCTTTGAAGTTTGAACAGATCACCTCCTTATCACTTCAGTTACCTAATTCTTTTCATATTTCCTTCACTTTCACTTTTGGTTTTTTCTTTTTTCGTTTTCTTTTTCCCCTTACCAGATGAGTATGACCTAGCAGAAAATAGGAAAGAGATGAAGAGAGAAACTGTTGAACGACTACAATTTGGCCATTCTTTAGAAAATTAAGTGCTCAGTAAAAGCCCAAAATAAAATAGTATTACTAATATGGAAATAAAAATTTGTTGAACAACACGGTATCCCAGTGTCACTTCTTTGTCGTCTAACAACTTGGACTCTGAAAAACTTTTTAAGTCTAATGCAATAAATTAGTTGCAACCATTTTACATAAGTCAATAACCAATCAACTACTAGTTGTAATTTACTTATAGGAAGAGGTAGTCATAAGACGTGGAAATTTAAGAATGCTTCATTTAAAGCTAAAGTTGAATTGACGTGCAAGCAACAAAAATAAAATAATTTGTGTAACTTTTGCAGCCTTCAAGAGGGAAAAATAAGAGGGTCCTACCTCAATGTAGCCGAGTCCTTCAGGATCTAATTCTTCCATGATTAAAGCTGCATACTCCTCTGCTTGTTCTTTTAATCTTGATAACTTGTTTGCAGATGCACTTAGCATGATGATCTACATTGACCCAATTAAATAATCAAAGGTTATATATATTATGTTTACCGTTTTCACTAGAAAGTTCAATAGAAAGAGCCGTAATAGTAAAGCTAGGATTTCCACCAAAGGAATTCAAAAAACAAAAAAAGGTAAATAATCCAACATTGAATATATATGTAGGAACTTTTTATATGCAGTGTAATTTCCGGCGAAGGGGATGAACCCCCTTTCGCCACCCTAGCTCCACCAATGGAAAGAGATAGTTTCACTTGTAAAGGTTAATTTAGCCTTTTTGGCATCATAAACATTACGGAGTATTTGAATTTCCAATTTCACTCATGAACATTTTGTTTCAATAAGCCATTGGAGCGACTACAACTAGGTTGGAAATTATATCACAAGGACGAAAATAAGTTTGAAAAATTGTGTTGTATCAGTCGATTGTAACTTTGTCCAACATAACTTAGATGTTCCAATCTCATCAAAAGTCTTTCTATTCCTTCTTTTGGCATCACCAAAAAAAGCATTTTAAAGGAAAAAGGAAAAAATATATAAAATGAAGACTAAATAATTAAAAACAGAACAAATTTTTGAATTGCAATATTATGACAAAAATGCCCCCACCAACTCCCCTGAAAATGATGTTAAGTCAGGGAAAAGAAAAAGAAAAATGTTGGGACTATTTGCACTATTTTAGGGGTCAATATTATCCTAGGCGCTATATATATTTCGTCAGACAAAAAAGGTTTCTAGAGAACATGGGTAGCGTCAGACAGCAAGACTACAGAGATTATGCAAATGCATTATTTTAGAAAAAACATTTACAAATACTTTTGGCGTCGTTGATTCTTGAAATTATCTGGCCAACTAATCATCACGCCGATCACATATTATTTTATACCCTTAGGAAAAAAGAAACAAGAAAAAATAGGGTCACAAAGCTTAATCCTAACCACTTCGTAGTATCGTTTTTAGAATGCATGTGTATGTATATTTATAACGAATTCTTTATCTAAGTCATTAAGCTTTTTATAAGGCAAAGTCAGCGATACATTTTAATGAATCCACAACCTGACAGACTGTTCTTCAAAGAAATTATTTATTGAAAGCTAGATTAGTTTAAAATTTCTTTCTAGTTAACTCAAGTTAAAACAAGTAATTTCCGTACTTTAATAAAATTATCACTATTTGAAGAGACAATCACTTTTTTTTAAAACAAATTTCTTCAAACATCTTCTAACAATGAAAAATTAACACTGAAATTTAGATAAGTCGATTCTCGTAATCTGAAGCTAAATTTTTTTTTTCTTAAACAAAAGTATAAAAAATGTCTATAATTTTTTATTTATATGCATAAGAATCAATATATAAATTCACATGAATACTGTATTCATTGAAACTCATTATAATTTGTTCAGGTAGAGGGAGTATAGAAAAGAAAGAGGGATTTTTATACAAATAGCCAGTTGTATTCCATGTTTTGAATTGATTATACATGATTACATATAT